TTGAGCCGCCAGCCTTCTGGTTAGCAGTCAAGTGCCTTAGGTACTAGGCTACCAGAACTCCTTATGTTATAGTGTATGACAATTGTTATCATTTTAGAAAAGAACATAAAAAAGCAGGAGTTAAAAAGAACTAAACTAATACCTCCAAAAAAAACCATCCATGTGGAAGAGCAAATTCATTTTCAACATGTAAAAAGAATGAAAAGTAGAGGCAATGAAAAGAACCATGTATTCGTAAGGAAGCAAATGTTAAAATGTGAAACCCAAGCTCCGACACATACATAGCTATAAGTAAGAGTCAGATCTAACGTGCATCCTAGAACCAACCAGAGATATATAGATATAATCAAGGCTGTAAAAAAAAACAACAAACTGCCCATTTAGTTGCGTGTGTACCCCTTGCCATAAATTTGAGTCAGCACCAATGACAGCTCTGCAGTCCTCCTATGTGGTGCTGATCAGGTGGTTGCAGAGCTTCAGCTCACAGCAACACAATGCAGCTGAGCAGGCAAGCACAGCCCACAGCCAGAAACGGTTTCCACTCTCCAGAACAAGGCGACCTTTAATCTTAAGTTTCTTGGAGAAATGAGGTGCTGATGTTGAAGACAACACTATGGTAAGCTTTTCTTTAAAATCAGTGAAAGACCGACTTCAGAATTTTTGTTTTTTCTTTTTCTTTCTTTTAAAAGAAAAAGTGAACGTTAGGATTGAATATGTATTCAATAGCAAGTGCATGCACCAGAAATTTGCTGCAGTGTCAGTTGAGGGATTTCTTTTTTCATATTCATTCACTTTGTAGATATGCATATTGTTTTTCTTTAGAAACAGTACTGAAATACACAGGAAAACATCATTTTGTAAAATGTGAGGTTTAAAGGCATGGTGTTGGTCTGGGCTTTTCAAATACCTTAAAATGTTTTACAAGGATATATTTATCCTAAAAAGATGAAATTTTAAACTACTGCTTTAATGGCTAAATAAAATTTCATCCTACACACACTGTTGTATTACTGCAGATTAAAAAAGAAAAAGAAAAAAAACAAACCCAGACATGACAGCCATTTTTTCCCATCTAAGAAAAGACATTATTAGGAATAGTAACAGCTTAAGAATTCAACTTTTTATTTGCAAAGAATGTCATTTTATAATATTAAAGCTCTGGGAAGACAAATAAGAAGACCACGGTATTAAAAACAAAAAGGGGGGTGGCAAGAGGGTGAACTGCAGAAGAGCAGGGGGAAGAGAGTCTCTCTCTACCACATAGCCCCAATTGAAGGATTAAGCATTTGGACTATAAATGAAGGGGAGCTTTGTTAGTTTAATCACTGGAACAATTATAAAAGGACTCAACAACAAACGAGGTTTATTGAAAATTTTGCCTAATGCTAATTGACCCATGCAGATGCCTAAACTGTATTTGCATATTAAAAGAAGGGTGTATCTGTTTATTTCCAGGCTTTGATGGAATATCAGATATTGAAAATGTCTCCCTGCCTGTTCATCCTTCTGTCTCTTACACCTGGTATTTTATGCATTTGTCCTCTCCAATGTATATGCACAGAGAGGCACAGGCATGTGGACTGTTCAGGCAGAAACTTGACTACATTACCATCTGGACTGCAAGAGAATATTATACATTTAAATCTGTCTTATAACCATTTTACTGATCTGCATAACCAGTTAACCCAATACACCAACCTGAGGACCCTGGACATTTCAAACAACAGGCTGGAAAGTCTGCCTGCTCAGTTACCCCGGTCACTCTGGAACATGTCTGCTGCTAACAACAACATTAAACTTCTTGACAAATCTGATACTGCGTATCAGTGGAACCTTAAATATCTGGATGTGTCTAAGAATATGCTGGAAAAGGTTGTCCTCATTAAAAATACACTAAGAAGTCTTGAGGTTCTCAATCTCAGTAGTAACAAACTTTGGACAGTTCCAACCAACATGCCCTCCAAACTACATATTGTGGACTTGTCTAACAATTCCTTGACACAAATCCTTCCAGGAACATTAATAAACCTAATAAATCTTACACATCTTTACCTGCACAACAATAAGTTCACATTCATTCCAGATGAAGCTTTTGATCAACTCTTGCAGTTGCAAGAGATAACCCTTTACAATAATAGGTGGTCATGTGACCACAAACAAAATATTACTTACTTATTAAAGTGGATAATGGAAACAAAAGTCCATGTGATAGGGACTCCTTGTTCTAACCAAATATCATCTCTGAAGGAACAAAGTATATATCCCACACCTTCTGGAGTTACTTCAAGCTTGTTCACTGTCAGTGGGATGCAGACAGTGGACACCATTAACTCTCTGAGTATGGTAACTCAACCTAAAGTGACCAAAATACCCAAGCAGTATCGAACAAAAGAGACGACGTTTGGTGCCACCCTAAGCAAAGACACGGCCTTTGCTGGCACTGATAAGGCTTTGGTGCCCTACCCAGAGGTCACATCCACAGAAACGGTCAAATCACACGAAGCAGCGGCGGCAACCCTAACTATTCGCCTCCAGGAAGGAACGGCTACAAACACAGGCCTCACTAGCTCAGCAAAGTCGTCCCCGACACCCATGACCCTAAGCATCACTAGCGGCATGCCAAATAATTTCTCAGATATGCCTCAACAAAGCACAACCCTTACCTTACGGAGGGAAGAGACAACCACAAACATAAAGACTCGCTTACTTTCTGTGGCAAGTGTTTGGAAAGTAAATAGTTCATTTCTCTTAATGCTCAATGCTGTGGTCATGCTGGCTGTCTGAGGGTCTGCATTTTCTCAAATTAATGAAAGAACTCCTCCCTGATGTATAGTTGGGCAAATATGTCCCTATCTAACCAGTGATTCAAGCTGTATTAAGTATTCAAGAAAGCCAGTCTTATATTTCTGATTCTGATATAAATGAAGTAACTTGTCTTAAATAAAAGAAGTGCACAATGTCTTGGTACTTGCTGCTATTTTACTGTCTTAAGTAAAACTAATGAATTTTTTTTAAATGACATGCTTTCTTTTTAAGGCTTCAATTTAATGCACAAAATATAAAGCATCTAAACTTTATTATGTATTTTATGTATGTTTACACTGTCACATCTGGGAATAAAAATAAAAGGTCTATGCTCATAACCGTGTCATTTGACTTTCTAGTTATACCAATTTAACCTACCTAGTAAAATCAAAATGACCTAATCATTTTTGTTGTAAAGTTACTTGGTAAAAAGTCTTTGAGATGATGTTGGAGGCATCCAAGGATACTCCCACTAAAGTAAAATTGTGGTTGCCATCCCATGAATGGTTATGCCACATCATTATTTTACACACAAGCCATAATTGTTTTAAATCTAAATGATGTCCTGCTTCTGAGGAACTCTTGGCTACTTTACAGATTATATAATGGACAAAAGCTCTTCAAAAAGCCAGAAAGACACTAGGCTTTGCATTTTAATAAGGAAAGTTTAATGGCTTTGTTTTTTGCATTTAAGAAAACATAAGGAAAAGTATTAGTTTAAAGAAACGTAAAAGAGTGATTCTAGTGCATATTTAACAGACAGTATGATAATAGAAAATTTAAGTATTAACAAATTAAAAGCCTATTATGTGCAGAAGAGGGAAACCTATCACTTGTACACTGGCAGCCAGAATGTGACTTATCTAAATGAAAAATAGGCTTAGGATAAAACTGTGGGGTCTAACAAATATGGGCTGGGCAGTACTGAGGAGACAGAGGGGAGAAAAAGGAGAGAGGGGAGGATGGGATTCATTTGGTGCTCTAAGCAGGTGATGAATCCAACACTCAGACAATAGGACCAGGACTGATTAGGACACCCCCAATCAAACTGCACTGGGACTCCAACTACAACACAAATATTAAAAAATACAAAAGGAAGCCACTTTATGAATTAGAGACAACCAAGTACTAACTAAAAGTCAGAAAAAGAAACCTTGAAACAAAGCTAGGTCAAAATGCAAAAAAAAGCATAACGGAAGTGGGTGAAGCCACAAACACAGTATTTAATTGTGAAGCATAAGGAAGAATCTAATTTCAAGCATCCTCAGATTTAGAAAAAGAGTACAGAAAGAAATTTCATCCGCTCCTTCCTAAGAAATTTTGAAATGAAAATAACCTTTCCAGGATTGGGAACATTTCTATTCAGAAAGAGAAAAGTTAATAACCTTCCTACATGCACTTTTTTTTTTCTTTTTCTTTTTAAGGACTAGATTTAAGAAAAAGTTACTATTAAGCTTCAGTAAAATAATTCTTCTCTTACGTTGTTGAGGGCAGTGGCTCTGAAACATTTTACTGCCTTGGAAAGCCTATTTGACTCATAATGGCAGGGAATCTTATGGTTAAGAACAAGGGTAATTTGAAAAAGTCTCCTGGATGATTTTTAAATATATTCTCTTTCCAAATAAGCCAGCTGTTCCCATTCCTTCCCAATCGCTGATCTAGTATGTTCCCCACCCAGAACAGAGGCTAACTGCTTAGATACCCCTACTCGATCACATGCTACTGGTTTACTTTGGAAACTATATATCCTGAGTTCCACAGAGAGTAGGTTTCTTAGAATTAACTGACTTTGAGGGTGTCAAAAATTCAATGCTGTCTTAAAAATTCTAAGGAGAAAATGTCAAGAAAGTAAAATTACTGATCACAGTATTACCAGCACCTATGGATTATGCCAATCCTACTGACATGCCTGCAAAATGCAGGAGGAAAACTCAGTAAATTTTCAAGTACACCGTATGATAACTATGCACACTCAGAAAGAAGCATTATCTAGTCTTAAAGAAATTAGATAATACTTCCTTTTAAAGAAATTGTGTTCTTATCATTATTAATGGAAGAGGGCCCATTTTTGCCATTAAGACAAGTTGCTATTGTTGTTATGTGCTGTCGAGTTGGACCTGACTCATAGCAACCCCTCCCCTGGGTTTCTGAGGTGGTATCACTATGGAAGTAGATTGTCCAACCTTCCTTCCGAGGAGTGGCTAGTGGATCTGAACCACCAGCCTTCTGGTTAGCAGTCAAGTGCCTTAGGTACTATGCTACCAGAGCTCCTGATAGATAGGTGCTGACGACTAACCATTTAAAAATGTTTGTGGAGCCCAGTAATACAGTAGTATACTACTATCTATCAAGTTCATCAGAAATAGCTTAAATACTATGTTATTTAATCAGTGTGTTCTGGTGAATAAAAAAGTACTATGTATTTGGCACATAGTAGGTAAGCCATATTCTTTATCTGTTGTTGTTGAGTGAATGTTTCAGGTATTGTGCAAATGAAAAAAAAAAAGGAAAGAAAGAAAAAAAAGAACTTCTATAATGTGCTTTTTCAAGTAAGACTGGCAATGAATGAACCTGAAGAATTAATGTGACTGCATATGTAATTTAGAATGTCAATGAATTTTAACATTACAGGCAAATAATTTTTTCTTTTCAGAATAATAGTAATCAATAGTTTCTTATGAAGTCCTAGAAGATGGTAGTATTATACACATACCCCTCTCCATCCCTAAGGAAACTTGGTTCTTTTTCACAGGTAGCTTTTGTTTCTTAGCAAACAGGATACTCACCAATCAAGATCCAAGTAAGAGCACAAATAAAAAGCAAATGCAATGAGTGACAGATTAGTGGTTTGGGGACATGCTTTGATATCAGTGGATCTAGGCCGAAATCCTACCTCTGTACTTCTAAGCTGTACATCCCTGGATAGTGCTTTAAGTCACAGTTTTCTCATCTATTAAATAGGCACAGTCAAAATTCCCTCATAGTTGTTTTTCTGAGGATTAAATGACATTATTCACATAAAGCCTTATCATAGTGTCCTGGCCTACCCACATTTCTATATGAGGTAAATGCTGCTGCTGTTAAGCCAAAAAACCAAACCCTCTGCCATCAAGTCTATTCAGACACATAGCAACCCACCCTCTCTGGGTTTCCAAGGCTGTAAATCTTTATGGAAAGAGATTGCCTCATCTTCCAACCACGAGTGGCTGGTAGGTTTGAACAGCTGACCTTCTAGTTAGCAGCCAAATGCTTCATCCACTATGCTACCAGAACTGTTGCTATTCATGTTATACTATTGTATCTGTTCATCTAAACCCAGGGCCATGAACCTGAATTCTCTAGAGTGGAAGACGAGGGAATTAAAGGATGTTTGCTTCAGTCCCTGATGTTCCACCCTCTAGAACTGAGGTTCAGCTATTAGTTTACCAGGGATGTGGAAGAAAATCAGAGAAACACTGGCTTATCACAGCAAAGTGAGATGTCTTCTTTGGCTAAATTAAAGATGCAAATATGTGCTATTCAATAATCTTACAAAAAAGTGCCGTGAAGCAATAGCAAATTCCTTGAACTGACACCAAAAATGTCAGACATAAGTCAATGTAAAATTCTTCCTAGGATTATTCCTTATAAAATACATTTTAAGAACTAGGCAAGATATGGTACCTTATATTTCAAACTACCAGTAAATGATAAACTTAACCGTGAAAATTAAGGTATATTTCTCAAGGATGAACACAATTGCCAATATTTTTTGACATTATTTGGGAAGTTCCATGACAAAAAAGAGAAGTAAGACATATTTACATTTAATCATCATTAATAGACAAAATACTTGTCTATCCCAAAGGATTCTTCAGGAAAACCTTAAGAATAACTAATTTTAAATAACTAACAACAAAATAAATGTGACAAAATCAATGGTTTCCTCATATGCTGGCAACAAATAATTAGAAATTATGGGGGAAAGATACCATCCACACAGCAACAACAACCCAAGTGATACAATTCCAAGAAATAACATTTCCATGAAATGTGCAGAACCAAACAGGGAAAAGTTAAAAAATATTAATGAGAAGTATAAACCAAGACATGATGAAGAATACAAATGAAGGTCTCTCCATTCATTCATTCATTCATTAACTCAATAAATCTTTTCTTAGCACCCGGAATATACCAGTCACAAGGCTAAGTACAGGAGACCTACAGTATAATTTATGGATTAAGCCAACTCATAAACATTCCAATGAGATTCTTTTTAAGACATAATAGAAAATATTGAGATTTGGAAAAATAAACAAGCAAGAATAAAGAAAAAGAGTCATTCTAGCCTTTGTTGAGGAGCTCTGGTAGCATAGTGTCTAAGGCACTTGACTGCTAACCAGAAGGCTGGCGGTTCAAACCCACCAGCCACTCCTCGGAAGGAAGATGGGGCAATCTACTTCCGTAGTGATATTGCCTCGGAAACCCAAGGAGGGCTCGCTATGAGTCGGGTACAACTCCACGGATTATAACAACAACAACAACAAGCCTTTGTTGAGAAGGAAATATATGTACCGTAATAATGAAGACAGAATGGTGGTTGTTGTTGTTAGGTGCAACCGAGTCAGCTCCAACTTATAGTAACCCTAGGTACAACAGAATGAAACACTGGTCTAGCACCATGCTCACAGTCAATGCTGTATCTGAGACCACTGTTGCAGCCACTATGTCCATTCACCTCTTTGAGGATCTTCCTCTTTCTCACTAGCCCTTTACTTTACCAAGCTTGATGTCCTTCTCGAGAGACTGGTTTCTCCTGAAAACATGTTCAAAGTATGTGAGATGAAGTCACGTTATCCTCGCTTTTAAGCAGTATTCTGACTGTACTCTTTTTTTTTTTTTTTTTAAATTGTGAGTTGGGTGAAGATTTACAGAGCAAATTCACTTTCCATTCAGCAATTCACATACACTTTGTCTCATGACATTGACCACAGAGTACCACAATGCAACAGCTCCCCTCCCACTTGCTCCCCATAGTTACCCATTCCCAGTGTCCATCCCTCCATGCACTCTTGCCCCCTGAGCTGTCTCCCTGTGCATACACAGCCCTTCTTTCTCCCATGATTGTTCTCTTCAAGCAGTGTATCTACCTCAGGTAAATGTTTAACTCACATGCCTGTATTTTGTTTGGCTGGAAACCACGGGTGTGGGTTCAATTCCAGACCTGAAGGGCAGCTAGGAATCATAGTCTCAGTGGTTCCACCAGGCTCTATCGGACCAGCAAACCTGGCACCCCCCTTTTTTTTCTCCAAATGATTTTGAGTTTTGTTCCACATTGTTCTCCCTATCTAGGATC